TCACATTGGCCACACAATTTGATTTTGGTTTACCATGACCACTGTGAAACAAAATTAAATTGAGTGGTCAATGTTACACTAAGTATGAAATTGGAAGGTCGGTGGTAAATTTAGCCCAAATGGAATATGTTTGGCTAATCTTAAAAGCAAGGGGGGAGCGAAGAAATTCATTCAGTGCGAGCACAATTGAATAGACGTCAAACTTTTTAATAATGATAAAACTAAAACAATATTACAAAATATTAAAAATGACGTAGTTTATAAGTTACACGTGTGTTTTACGAGTTTTCAAACTTTAATATCGTTGAAGAATACATTATTATCAATCTTCAAAATTTATGTCATTCAAAAAATTGGATTTCTATGCTAGTAGTTATTGTCTTTTTGTCTTGTAGAACCTTATTCAAAAAAAAAAAAAGAATAACGAATTTTTATATTAAAATGTATTGTCTTTTTGTTTTACAAAAAAACTTGAATATCTCGTTGTTACATAGAAATTCTAGCAATTCATAGATGCATCACATCGAAGTTGGGAAGATAAAACTTTGATTAATCATATTGCAAGTGCCTATCGTACTTGTTTTTAACATATTAATTCAACAAATATGCAACTACGGAAAAACTTTAGCATAGTAATTTAACAAACTTCGATCCATCCCACCACTGCATTCCAAATATGGGGGTCTCAAAATAATAATAATAATTTAAAAAAAAATGAGCCTGAGCTTGAGCCTGAGCCTGAGCCTGAGCCTAGAATAGGCCTGCACTGGACCATATGGGGCTCCCCTACTTAGAAGGGGCTTCAAATTAATGAGGCATGAAATAAATCCAATGTCGCTTAAATAAGGAGAGAGAACGTTCAATCCAAGAGGGATAAGGTATTAATTGAAGTCAACTCATGATGGAGAGAGAAGGTATTAATTTGTGGTATCGTCTATATAAATTAAAGTCAAATTTACAGATTTTTATTGGAGCAAGTTACAGAGACATTTTTGGAGGCTAATGACTAGGATGATAAAGAGGCTCTATTCCTTCTACAAAATTACGAAGACTTTCTCTTCAAATTTATTTTCGTGACAAATTTCCCGTGCAAAAAGTGAATATTTATTTTTCATTTGACTTATTTATTTTATACCAGTTTAAAATTGCTATAACATTAAAAAATGTTATCATGTGTCATTTCATCCCGCATGTCTCGAGAGAGTATTTCAGTAAGTTCATTGACTACTCAAACAAATTTAAAGCCAAAATGACAATTAACGTTTGGAAAAGTACAATAATAACTCAAAAACTTTTTTTTATTTAGATGACAATTGA